TCCTCCTCGTCCTGCTCCTCCTCCTCCTCCTTCTCCTCCTCACCCTCCTCTCCCTCCTCCTCCCCTCTTCCCCCGTCTCCTCCCTCTCCTTTCTTCCAGGCTCGGCCTGCTCCTTCTGCCCGGCCTCGTCGTCGTCGTTGTCGTCGCCGTCGTCGTCCTCCGCTTCCTCCTCCTGCTCCTCCTCCTCCTCCTGCTCCTCCTCGTCCTCCTCCTCCTCCCCCTCCTGCTGCTCCTGCTCGTCCCCCCTCTTTTGTGAGCCTGGCCCGCCTCTCCTCCACCTTCTCCTCCCCTGTCTGGCCACTTCCCTCCGCATCCTCCTCGTCCTCCTTCTGCTCCTCCCGCTCCTCCCCACCCCCTTTTTGCTTCAGGGAGGCCCTGCCTCTCCCTCCCCGGCCCGTCGACGGACCAGGACCAGGGCGGTCGGTCGTAGTGGATGGGGTCGGAGGATCGCGCCGCGTCGCCATCAGCGATGCGGCTCGATGTGGGGCCCGATGTTCTCCACGCCGACGTCGCCGATGCATCGCCTACGTCGCCAGTGCATGGCCGATGCATCGGCTCGGCGATGCAGCGCCGATGCATCGTCGATGCGGCGGCTGCGGAAGGTCGGTGGAGGGCGGCGGAGGCAGAACGAGGGCGGCTCCGCCGGCGGAAGGCCTGCGGAAGCTGATGGAAGTGGAAGGTGCGCCCCCAAACCGGGCAGTGAGATACCAGGTGGCGACCTGGAATCCCAAAAAAGGTCACCGCTGGTTTTGGGGACACGGGGTCACCACCGGGTTTCGTGACTCCTGGACCCACCAGTGTTCGGGACATCCTCGGAAAACCGCACGAGTCCCCAAACCGGGTGGTGACACCAAATCGCCCGAGACTCACCGCCAGGTGTTGTCACCACCACGTTTGGGGACTACCAAGAAAGATGTGCCCCGCGGAGATGACAACATTTTGGAGTTCAGGGTTTCTGGAATCGGTCGCGTCGTGATTTTTGTCGAGGCAGCAGGAGGGGAGAGGGGTCAAGCAACTGATTTCTTTCCGGGGTTCTTTCCAGGGCCCGCCGTTGGGGACATTCTCGAGCGAGTCTCATTGAAGGACTGCTTGGTGGGTTGGTTGGCCGATTGCCAGGTCAACAACATATGTCTGTGTCAAAACTTTGTTTCAGGGACCAGCCATGTGGGACGTCCTCCAAGACTCCTTTGAGAAGGACTGGTCGGTTCGTCGGTTGGTTGCCTGGTTGGCTCGCTGGATTCCGAATCAAGAACCGTTTGTTCCTGGGGTGGTTGGTTGGTTGGTTGGTTGGTTGGGCTGCTTGGTTGGCGGGCTGGTTGGCTGGGCCGGCTCGTTGGCTTACTGGTTTATTGGACAGTTTGTTATCCAATGCGATGGGGTGGTTGGTTGGTCGCTTGGTCGGTTGGTTGTTTGGTAGGGTGGTTGGTTTGTTTTCGTTGGTTGGCCCGTTGGTTGGCTGGTGGTTGGTCGGATGGTTGGTTGGCTGAGTGGTTGGGTGGCCAGTTGCCCGATTGCCCAGGTGGTTGGCCAGTTTTCTCCTCCAGTCCTGCTCCCCTCCTCCCCCTTCCCTCCTTCCCCCTCTCTTCTGTGTGCATTTCTCCCTTCTGCTCCCTCCCTGTCCTTCTACTCCCCCTCGCCCGCAATTGATTGCAATGCAATGTATTGCAAATGCAATGCAAATTCTATTCAGCGCAACGCAATGCAATGCAACAGGATACAACGTAATGCAATGCAGCGCGATGCAAGACAACACAAATGCAACGCACATGCAACGCAATGGAATGCAACATGATACAATGCAATGCAGCGCAACACAATGCAATGCAACGCAACGCAATGAAATGCGACGAATGCATTGCAATGTAATGCACTCCAATGCAATGAAGTGTAACGCAATGTGTGCCTCGATAGGCAGCAGCGCCGCGGGGCGAAACAGTTACTTTCCCCTCCACTCGACACGTGGCAACATCCCGGCGGGCCCTGGCGGGCGAGACTATACTATTCCACTCTACTCGTCACGTCGCAGCGCCGCGGGGGCCGAGCAAAAATATGATTCCACTCTTTCCGCCGCGTGTCACAACCCAGGGGGGCGAGCAACAACACGACTATTCCACTATACCTGTCATGTGGCAACGCCGCTGGGGGCCGAACGCACATACTCACCCACTCCACCTGTCACGCGGCAGTGCCTGGAGGCACGAAGCCACCGTATTCCGTTCATTTCACGAGTCACGTGACAGTGCCGCCGTGGCCGAACAACAACAACTATTCCAATCCTATTCGTCACGTGGCAGCTCCGAGGGGACCGAAACTAGTACCATGCCACTCCACTCGCCAGGTTGCAACGCCTGGCGGGCGAGAAGCAGAAGTATTCCGCTTCAGTCGTCACGAGGACGACGACGATGACGACGACGACGATGCTGACGACGACGATGACGAGGGCCAGGGAGGCGAACGACAGTGCCATCCTATCCTCCTCCTCGTCCTTCTCCCTCCCCCTTTCCTCCTCCATCCTCCCTCCTGCCTCCCCCGTTCCTCCCTCCTCCCCCTCCCCTCATCTTCCCCTCCTCCCTCTTCACCCCTCCTCCCGCCCCTCCCCTCTACCTTCCTCCCTTCTCCTTCCTCCTGTCCTCTCCCTCGCCCGTAGTTTAGTGCAATGCAATGTACTGCTTACGCCTTACGCAATGCACATGCAACGCAGTGCTCCGCAACACAACGCAACGCAACAGGATCGTTGGTTCGCGGTTGGATTGCTGGTGGCTGGTCGGTCGGCAGGTTGGTCAGTCGGATCGCCGCCACGTGGCCACGCTTGGGCGGGCGACAGCCTATGATTCCACCGTGCGTCACGTGGCGGCGCCGCGAGGCCCGGACAAACATACGATTCCACTCCCACTCATCACGCGGCGGGGAACGACCAAACACAATCCCACCAGCCGTCACGTGGCAACACCGCGGGGGACAGCAAGGACATGAAGCCGCTCCACGCGCCGTATGGCGACGACTGGGGGCGTGAAGAAACATAATCCCATCCACTCTGCATGTCAAGCGGAAGCGCCGCGTGGGCCGGAAGACAAGATGTTCCGCTCGATTCGTCGCTTGGCAACGTTGCGGGGGCCTGCGACCAGTACTATGCCACGCCACTCGCCACGTGGCAACTCCTGGAGGCGGGAAGAGCAAGCATTCCGTTCTCGTCGTCACGCGGCATCGCCGCGGGGACCGAAACAAACATTATGCCACTACGGCGACGAAGGCGACGACGACGACGGCGATGACGACGACGATGACGATGACGATGCGATGCCGACGACGATGAGTATCCTATACTTCTCGTCCTTCTTTCTCCCCCCTCCCTCCTCCCTCCTCCATCCCCCCTGCTCCCTCGTTCCTCCCCCAATCCTCCCTCCTCCCCCCTCCCCTCCTCCCTCCTCCCTCCTCACTCCTTCTTCCTCCCCTCCTCTCTACCTTCCTTCATTCTGCTACCTCCTGTCCTCCTCTCCCCCTCCCGCAGTTTACGAATGCAATGTATTGCAGACGCAGTGCACATGCAACGCCGTGCAGTGCAGTGCAACGCAGCGCAGCGCAGCGCAGTGCAGTGCAGTGCAACGCGTGACGTGGCAGCGCCGTGGGAGTCCTAACAAGAACCACATGCCACGAATCGGCGGTGACGAGGGCCGGGCAGGCCAACAACAAAACAATCCTATCCTCTTCCTCGTCCTTCTTCCTGCCCCTCCTCCCTCCTCCCCTCGTTCCTCCCCCATTTCCTCCCTCCTTCCCCTTTCCTCCTCCCCCCTCCTCCCTCCTCGCTGCAATGCAGTGTGCTACTCCTCCCCCTCCTCCCTCCTCCTCCCCTCCTCACTCTCCTCCCTCCTTCCCCCTCCCCCGTTCCCTCCCAGACACCCCCCCCTCCGAAATGTACTGCAATGCCCTGTACTGCAAATGCCATGCACATGCATCATAGCGCAGCGCAATGCAACGACATATCAATGCAATGCAATGTAAAGCAATGCAATGCAATGCACTGCAATACAGTGCAATGCAATGCGCTGCAATGCGCTGCAATGCAATGCACTGCAACACAGGGCAATGCAATCCACTGCAATACACTGCAATGCGATGCGATGCACTGCAATGCAATGCAGTGCAATGCGATGTTATGCAATGCAACGCAACGCGATGCGATGCGATGCTGTGCTGTGCGATGCAAAGCAATACGGTGTGCCCGCCCGCTCGTCTGCATGCCCGCCCGCCCGCCCGCCCGCCCGCCCGCTTGCCTCTCCGCGCGCGCCTCCCATCCATCCCATTCCAGACCACGCCATTCCGTTCCATTCACTCCTGCCCTCCATGCCAGTCCGTCCATTCTGGTCCATTCTGTCGCCCTCCCTTCCCCCGTCCCGCGGTCATTCCGGGTCCAAAGAATGTCATTTAGGCCCAGCGGTGTGGGACATCCTCAGAAACTACACCGGGGAGGGATGGCTGGCTGGTTGGTTGGTTGGCTGGCAGGCTGGCTCCTCGGTTTCCGGGTGAGCTGGCGTCGAGAGGCCTATGTTGGCACACCCCTCATACGGATGGCGCCCAGGGTGCCGGAAAGAAGGATTGTTTCGACCGGCAGATTTGCTTTTCTGACCCGTGCTAAGCTAGTGTGTCGACGCGGATGTTTGTTGACCCGCGACCCGCGGGGGAGCTGGTGCCCGCGTCGTGAGACGGATCAGACTGGCTGGATCGGGATACGGTCGGGAGCTCTATAGGACAGCGCGTCGCTCCGCTGGTGCTGGCCCACAGCGCCTCGGCGCGGCACGCTATCCGCTTCGCGGCCGCCCGGCGTCCACGTCCCGAGCTGTCCCGCGCTTCCCGGCCCTCGGAGCGGAGCGTCGCGCTATCCGCCGCCTGCAGGGGCTAGCGTGCCGCCGGGGCCGCCGCCGCGACTCCGCTAAACAACGGTTCCCGACCAGATTCAGAGCAGATCGCCGGTCAGCCTGGATCGGGGGTGGGGCGCTTCCAAGGTCTGGTCGCAGCCCGCGGGTAGACCCAGCGGTGAACCACGGCCAAAGCTGCTGGAGCTGCGGATGCTGAGTGCGCTGGCGGCGCGCCGGGCTGGGTGTGGGGAGGGTCAGCCACACGCAGAGGGGGGAAGGGGGATGGGGAAGGCTTCTTAGAAGCACCCCTGCTGCTGAGAAGGCGCGGGCCTTGTCTGTGGATGCAAGGCCAGGGCCTTCTAAGAGGCGGCCTCCTGCTAAGAAGCCTCCCCCCCTCCTCCTGCCCCCTTGTGCGCGCCGCCAGGAGAGGGGGGGGGGGGCTTGTGGGGAGACCGGGTGCCTCCCCGGGAGGATCGAGGGCCTTCAAGGAGATCTTGCAGCACGCAGGTCCTGGCCACCCGCGCAGGCGCGAGAGCGATCGCGCCTCTCGCGCGCCGCGGCCCGGACGGGAGAGCTGCACCCCTCTCCACCGGGAGGGGGCAGCGCGAGAGCGCCCAGGGTGCGGGCCTGGACCGGGCGTCGTGCGTCGCGGAGCGCGATGCGCGAAGCGAGGTGGCCCAGGAGATTCGGAGGTCGAGGGGCCTCCTACCCTGACACGTCGGTTAGCGAGTTGGCCGTTTTCGGTCCGCGGGAGGGCGTCGTGGCCGTCACTTCTGCGGGTCCAGGTCCGTCGGGGTTCGGTCCTAGGCCGTTTTCCCTCGAGGGTGGTTTACTAAAAGGAGGTTTGTCCGCCGCCGAGAGATCACGGGAAGGCATCCCGGAGCACTGACAAAGCACAGATGGAACCCGCACGCCGCCCACCCCCGAAAGTTTGGACTTTGGGTTGGGGTTGGGGTGGTCTGGTAGGTAGTCAGGAGAAGGCAGGAGGGCTTCTGAGAGGCCCCCTGACTCTACGGGCGCGCCGACTCGTGCTGTCTGAGTTGTCCAGCATGGCGAGGCTACAGGCAGTGTCTCCTTGGACTCCGGCAAATTTGCTTGCATGGAGGGGGGGCCGTGGTAAGGTCCGACAGAACACCTCTTCGGCGGCCAGGCGCTGTTCGAAAAGGAGGCGGAAGGGGGGGAGGGGAAATGCCATGCATCAAGCTTGCCAGAATCTGGATGAGAGCACGCTCCGATGCCTCTCCTGGTACCTGCGTGATGCGACTTTTCCTTTCGCCCGCCATGTTAGATAGTAGGACACGTATTTGATTGTTGCCATGCGGGGCCGTCGCAGGCGTCTGGAGCCCTAGAGCAGGCCAAGTCAGAAGTTTGGCGAAAGGCCGAGCTTCGTGAGGCCCTCTTCGGCACCGCCGCGCACTCTTCCGGGCGGCGGTGCTGGTTTTCCGTGGCGGTTCTCCGCTGCGCAACTGGCGGAGGTCGCAGTCGTTGCTTCGCCGCGGTCTCTCAACGGCACGGGGGAGGAGGGCCCCCCTCTTCCTCCTCCTCGTTCTCCTCGTACTCCTCCTCCTCCTCCTCCTCCTCCTCCTCCTCCTCCTCGTTCTCCTCTTCCCCCTCCTCGTCCTCCTTCTCGTCCTCCTCCTCGTCGTCGCCGTCCTCCTCGTCGCCGTCGTCCTCCTCCTCCGAGTCCCCCCATCAGCTCAGCTCGGTCCAGCTCAACCCAGTCCGAGTCAGCTCAACTCCCCCTCCCCCCTCTCCCACCTCGGTCGCACGGGGGGCGCCCCAGGCAGTCCATTGCCGCTGGCTAGTACAGGGTGCCCTCGTCTTAAGTCGGCGTAGCCCTCTACAGGAGGAAGATTTGGAAGATGCAAAAATGATCAACAATAGCGTGGGGACGATTTTAATGTTTAAGCATTGTCTGACTATCTTATGCTTTTCGTCAAATGTCCACCTGCAGGAGGACATGCCCGACCCAACCCTAGTCCAGTTCGGGAAACGCCCCTTCCTATGCGCTTGTCCTGTCCTGTCCTGTCCTTTCCTCTTCCTCGATCTTCTGCTCCTCCTACTCTGCTCCTCCCGCTCCTCCTCCTCCTCCTCCTCCTCCTCCTCCTCCTCCTCCTCGTCCTCCTCCTTCTCCTCCTCCTCCCCCTTCCTGCCCCTCCTCCCCTCTCTGTCGGCCCCCCCTCAGGCCCCTCCGTCTCTGTCCGCCTTCCTTCCCCACCCCCCCACGGAGGGAGGAAGAGAGGGGTTTTCAGATTCAGACTCGGATTCGGAACGATTGCGAAGCAACATCCAACATCTCAACATTGGGCGGAAGATTTCCCTCGAATCTGGAGAGGTAATTCCTCCGCTTCGTAGTGATGGGGGGCAGAGCGGGGAAAAGGGGAGGAGGAAAGGGGAAGGAGGAGGACTATGGTGGGGGAGGAGGAGTAAAAGCAGAAGGAGGAGGAGGAGGAGCGCGGAGGAGAGGAGGAGGAGGAAGAGGAGGAGGGGGCAACACTGGAACGCTCACGCCACATCCGACATCCTACCCGCTACCCGCTGAGCCGAATGTCGCCCTCTACTCGCAGAGGGGAATGTCGAAGCCGACATGGGTCCTGGAAGGGCAATTTTATCGGAGAAGACCCGGGAGACCAAGAGCTTGGAGGGACATGGAGGAGGCGGAGGAGAACTCTGAGGAGCATGAGGGAGGCGGATGGGGAGCAGGAGGGAAGGCTGGGGAACAAGTAATGACATAAACATGAACTCTCGGAGGTCCGCGCAGATTTCTCGGGTCGCCGCTGGAGCCTCTTGGCCTCGCCTCCGGCGCCGCCTCTGGCGCGCTCCACGCGCGGGGGAAAAAAGGGGTCAGAGCCGATCTGAGAATTCCGCGGGGACCTCCGAAGTTTATGTTCATGCCACGGTTTGTCCATCTAGCATTAAGTCGGGCCTGTCCTTCTACAGGGGGAGTATTTCAAACATAGTCAAAACATCCTCTGGGTACGATTTGTCTAGTATTTCTTTGCCATGTTTGAATATTCTTGGGCACTTGTTATGTATGTTTAACCCTTGTGGGGCAATCTTTATCTGCTCGTCGAAAAAAACGGCCTGTAGTGAGACATGCCCGACCTATATCTAGCAGAGGAGCGAGGACGGAAGGAGCAGGAGGTCGGGCCGAGGACGACAACGAGAGAAGAAAGGAGATTTGTAGAGGAAGAGGGTGGTCGTTTTTTATTCATTGTTTTGCCGATCGGCGCGGGTCCTCGAACCCCCTTTCCCCCCCCCTCGGAGCAGGTCTTGGCTGTTTTTTTGGCACTTGTTTTGAGCGGGTGGAGCCTCCCCCAGAGGCCGCACTCTTGCAAACAGGCACTGAGCAGAGGTCTGGAGCCAGACCCCCCCCCCTTTCCCCCCAATGTCGAAACGCCGAATAAAAAGACGCTCACCATAATCAGTCGTATGGTGGCGACAAAGTCACCAGGCAGAACAATGGGGAGGACGGTTTCTCCTAATGGTGAAATAAGCATTTTAATGGTGAAATAGAAATCTTAATGGTGAAATAGAATTTCTTAATGGTGAAATAGAATTTCTTAATGGTGAAATAGAATACCTTAATGGTGAAATAAAATACACCACGTAAACACACCACGCAAACACCACGCTAAAACACCACGTAAACCGCCGCTCAAGCGGCGCATGCAAACACCACGCAAAAACACCACGTAAACCGCGACCCACCCCACGGCGCTCCGGCGCCGCTCCAGCGGCGCACGCAAACACCACGCAAAAACACCACGCAAAGACTCCCCGCTCCAGCGGCGCACGCAAACACCACGCAAAAACACCACGTAAACCGCGACCCGCCCCACGGCGCTCCGGCGCCGCTCCAGCGGCGCACGCAAACACCACGCAAAAACACCACGTAAACCGCGACCCGCCCCACGGCGCTCTGGCGCCGCTCCAGCGGCGCACGCAAACACCACGCAAAAACACCACGTAAACCGCGACCCGCCCCACGGCGTTCCGGCGCCGCTCCAGCGGTGCACGCAAACACAACGCAAAAACACCACGCAAAAACACCACGCAAAAACACCACGTAAACCGCGACCTGCCCCACTGCGCTCCTGGGGTGCTGCAGCGGCGCTGCAGCGGGCTGCAGCGGCGCTCCAGCTGCGCTCCTGCGCCGCTCCAGCGGCGCACGCAAACACCACGCAAAAACACCACGCAAAAACACAACGTAAACCGCGACCCGCCCCACTGCGCCCCTGCGCCGCTCCAGCGGCGCACGCAAACACCACGCAAAAACACCACGCAAAAACACCACGTAAACCGCGACCTGCCCCACTGCGCCCCCGCGCCGCTCCAGCGGCGCACGCGAACACAACGCAAAAAAAACACAACGTAAACCGCGGCCTGCCCCACGGCGCCCCTGCGCCGCTCCAGTGGCGCACGCAAACACCACGCAAAAACACCACGCGGAAACAAAAAAAGAAACACCACGCAAACCGCGACCTGCCCGCCTTCGGCCGCCCTGCCAGGGCCGTGCGACGACGGCCGCGGCGACGGCGTCGGCAGCAGTGGCGGCGACGATGACGGCGGCTGTGACATAGGAGCTGGATTCTTGACGCTCTGCGCCACTGGCCCATCCAAAAACGATGCCCGGTCAGGTTGAGGTGGCCAGGGAAGCGCAGGAGCAAAGAAGGGGTGCAGCCGCTATCTTTGAAAGGAGGAGGAGGAGGAGGAGGAGGAGGAGGAGGAGGAGGAGGAGAAGGAGGAGGAGGAAATGTGTGAGGAGGAGGACATGGAGGACGACGTATAAAACACCACGTAAACCGCGACCTGCCCCACTGCGCTCCAGGGGCGTTGCAGCGGCACTGCAGCGGCGCTCCAGCTGCGCCCCTGGGCGCCCTGGCGCCGCTCCACGCATAGCAAAAAAAAGCACCACGTGAACCGCGACCTTCCCCACTGCGTCCCCGCGCCGCCCCAGCGGCGCACAAATACACTACGCAAATACACCACGCAAAAACACCACGCAAGAACACACCACGTGAACCGCGACCTGTCCCACGGCGCTCCGGCGCCGCCACAGCGGTGCAAAAAAACACCACGCAAAAACACCACGCAAAAGCACCACGTGAACCGCGACCTTCCCCACTGCGCCCCCGCGCCGCCCCAGCGGCGCACAAAAACACCACGCAAATACACCACGCAAAAACACAACGCAGAACAAAAAAACACGCCGCG